GCCCACGGATGAACCACTGGCTACTTGCACTGTGGAACGATGGTACACAGCCCCCGGAGTGGAACGCATCCCAATTAAGTCTGGCCGGGTCCGGGGAGCCCTCTTCTTGCCTCCAGGTAAGGAAACTGAATTCTGTTTTCTTTTCCACTTCCCTTTATTGCCTCAACCTCTTGCTTGCAATGGATGGTGCCTCCAAATGTATTTAGGGTGCTAGTGCCTAGACTTCCTAGCCAGCATGGAAGCACTGTTGATTTGTGCTTTGATGAGCACAAATGAGCAATCCCATAATTTGTTAGCCCTTTGAGATCAGCCAGACCAGGAAACCATTTTCACATGTTTGTCTGGATCTATATTTTATTGATAAATGCCATATCTTCCCAAATTTCTTGTTTCCTGGTACCCCTAGCAGTTCCCACACTGATTTCTAATATTAAAATTCCTGAAGTATCCATCTGCTATTGCTAGATTGAAAGATCTGATCTCCTTCTCCACATCTGCGTCTCTGCTTTGGACAGAGATTGGCTGTTCTGTGTACAGTAGTGGCCAAATTTGTGGAAACCTTTTGGGAAAAGTCTATTTTTGAGGTTTGATGGCTAATAACACCACTTTTTTGAGTAGTACCATAAAATTATTGGTGGAAACGTAACCAAAGGTAGCATTTCTACTGCACACTTTTCCCAAAAGGTTTCCACAATTTTGGCCACTACTGTATATGAGCACAAACTGTTTTCTTTTATCCAAGTTGGATCATAATACTGATAAAAGAGACCATGTGCCCATGCACAATTCTTAGTAAAGATTTGAACGCTTTTTGAAAAAGGGGCATATAAAAAGTAGAAAGGCATGTCATGTCACAAGGAAGGGAACAAATGGGTCACCCAGATTTGCACAGATGTTGTTGGGAAAGCTAAAGCTGAGAATCAGCTGAAGTTAGGGAAAGATGCTAAGAACAAGAAAAGGCTACTTGTCATCATTATGTCCAAAGAAAAAAACAATAATTTGTAAATGAGCTATGAGAATTAGACTTCTCATTCTTTGGCCCAGTCTTTCCTGAGAAGCAGATAAGCACTCCATTGGACATAGTCAGGGAACACTTATTGACTTTAAAGGAATCTTTAAACCAAATCTTTTGGTCTAGATGATTCCTAGAGCACTGAAAGAACTTGCTCATGATCTGGTCAAATCATTATCTTTGGAATATTTTAGGGAATGTCAAAATAGCAAATGACAAGAAATACTTGAAGCTTACTTATTTGCAGTAGTACTAATTCACAGTATTTGTGGACTGCCCCAGTTATGAGAGTCTGTTATTACTCACCACTATAAGTTAGCATGGATCAGACTAATCTTTACTTTCTATTAACTTCTTTCATAGATTATGGAAATGCTATAGATACAACACTATATAATCAAGATTTCATCAATGCATTTGACAAAGTATCTATGACAGCAGGTTGGATGATTGTGGTTGAGTGACATGTCAGTTAGGACAGGGGTCTCCAACCCCCGGTCCGTGGACCAGTACCGGGCCACGTCATGCCAGCAACCAGTCTGCACAAACAAGCAAAGCCCCATCTGTGGGATGCAGGCAGCACTCAAAACCATGCACCCTCCGGTTTGTGGAAAAACCTCTCCCCACGGAACTGGTCCCTGGTGCCCAAAAGGGGGGACCTCTGAGTTAGGATATATAGTGATCTGAAAATCATATTCAGATGCTCATTTAATCATGATTCTTTGTGAAACTAAAGTGAGATACTGAATTCAGTGCTGCAAACTTCAGCCTGGGTCTGACACAGTGCAATATTTTTTATTAATGTCTTTGATGATGCGGTAGAGCAGTGGTTCTCAACCTGTGGGTCGGGACCCCATTTGGGGTCAATCGACCATTTCACGGGGGTCGCCAAGCAAGGCTGTCTGCCATTTTTTTTGCCCATCATTTTTTTTGTCCGCCATTTTTTTCCCCTTTTCCGGCGGGTGCCTTACCTCCCTTGGGCTGGGCCAGCTGGTGGTCGGCCTGCTCTGTCTTTGCCGCTTGCCAGCTACGCCTCGGCCGACGCAGGGGGCGGAACCACGCATGTGCGGCGCTCCCGGGCAGGGAAAGTCCTCGACTTACGACCGGTTGGGTAGTCCTCGACTTACGACTGGTTGGGTAGTCCTCGACTTATGATCGGTTTAGTCCTCGACTTACGACCGGTTTAGTCCTCGACTTACGACCGGTTGGGGTCGCGGCATTAAAAAGGTTGAGAACCACTGCGGTAGAGGGAATGCTCTTCAGATCTGCAGATGACCCAAAATTAGCTGAAATAGCTGATGCCCTAGATTAGATACAGATAAAATTGAACATGGATGTAGTAGCTTAGAGAAATGGAACAAAATGACAGAAAGAAACTTAACTGAGACAACGAAAAGTCCTTCATGCATCTCACAAATAAGATGTGAGATGCATAGCTTGCTAACAGTACCTATGAAAAAGATTTTGCAAGAGTAGCTGAGTGAAAATTAAATTTGGCTCAGCAGTATGACATCGCTACAAAAAAAAAAGCAAATGCAGTTCTAGACATCATTAAAAGCATTGTTCCCAAATCAGAGAAAGTAATGTATTTGACAAAAGGGATATTACTCTTTGTTTTTTATTTCTTCACTTATCCTTGTTTTTTCTCCCTCTCTGCCTCACCAGGCCCTGGGCCATTTCCAGGACTGATTGACCTATTTGGTGGAGCTGGAGGACTAATCGAATTTCGAGCTGGCTTATTGGCTAGCAAAGGCTTTGCAGTTCTGGCTTTGGCTTTCTTTGCATATGATGATTTACCACAGACTCTGGAAGTAGTAGATCTGGAGTATTTTGAGGAAGCATGCAGACTGCTCTTGAAAAATCCTAAGGTGTGCATGAGATTATATCTTTTCTTAAACTTCTTGTTGACACTCAGGAAGATCCTAGAGTTTATTCTCTATTTGTTATGCAGAATACTTCATACAAACTAGCATGCTATGCACCTGTCAGATATACAAGCTAAAGGGATTTTGGGCCTGACAAAGCACAGCACAGATCAGTAGCATCGTTCCTGAGGGCAGAAGGATGAGAGCAGCGCTGCATTGCCACCTTTTGTGTGTGCATTGTGATACACTGCTGACCCCTCAGTGCTGCAATGCTCTTTTGTCATGTTGTGGACACACCCATTATATCCACCCTCTCAGTTTTCATTAAAGCATACAATTTTTTTCCTTAGGCTTCCTTATGTGTAGCTGAAAAACATGCAAAAACATGCAATTAAAAGTCATGCTTAAACATGCATTGCTTTAATGAGCTGATTCATAAAAGCAGCAACATTTTTTTCAGACTTCCTTCCTTTCTTCTGTCTGTCTGTCACATTTCTTGTCTTGTATTGGCTGGCTGGCAGAAAGAGAAGGTGAGCAAGTTCATTTTTGAATGTGTAGATCTGCAATAATATAGCATGTGCATTACTATATCGTTTTTTATAACTTTGATATCACCCCTCATTGTTTTAAGGAAGAAAGTGATTTAAACTTTTGTATGTCTCTCTGTGTTTGCTACTCCAGGTAAGAGGTCCAGGACTTGGAATTATTGGTTTATCCAAAGGAGCAGAAATTGCATTGGCCATGAGTACCTTCTTAAAGGAAGTAATGGCTTCAGTGTGCATCAATGGTCCAACAATAATGACTACACCACTTCACTTTCATGATGTCAGTATCCCTGGAGCTTCCTACCCAATTGAAAAGATTCTCATTAATGAAATGGGATTGGCATATTTTTACTATTGCTTGGAACATCCTCTGGATGAAAAATATGAAGTGTCTACCATTCCTGTGGAGAAGGCCCAAGGGCACGTCCTCTTTGTGGTGGGGGAAGCTGACCAAAGCTTCAATAGCAGGGCGTTTGCTGAAGCAGCCCTGGCTCGAGCAAAGAAACATGGGAAAAATCATTGTAGCCTGTTGTTTTATCCAGGGGCTGGACATCTGATAGAACCCCCTGGATCTCCAGTTTGCTTTGCCTACCCACTTTGGTTTTCTCCCTTGCCGATCCAATGGGGAGGGGAAGTGAAGCCTCATGCTAAAGCCCAGGAGCACTCCTGGAATGAGATCCTGAATTTTTTTAAGTTTCATCTTGGGCCACTTCAGAAGAGCAGCTTATGATAAAAGAAAGGCCAGGTTGTTTAGCTTCCTTTAGAACTATGGAGTTGGATGGAGCCATTGAACTCCAATCTTCTACCCTGCGCAGAGGTTAAAGTTAAAACAACTCCTTTAGATGAAGGGGAGCCCTCTAGCTCTTCGACTGATTAGATCCATTGTTGAACTGCTGCTTGGTGTTAGTAAATTTTTCAGAACATTCAAACAGAGTCTGCCTCACTGTTTAGATGTCCCACCGGCTGAGAAGAAAACAGATGTTAGCATTCTCTGTGGGCTTCTTAATGAATGCTACCATATTCTTCCTTCCATTCTTTGTTTTTCATAAAGCTACACACATCAAGATTCTTCATTCTGCCTTCAGAGAACTTACTTGCCATTCTCTGAAACTACAACAGTGTCTGTGAATTCTTAAAGGATGGAACATCTCCTCTTCAGATTTGGAATTTATATTTCTTCTGGTGCAAAGGAAATTACATTTGCCCTTTTTTTTATAATCACAGTGCTATGTCATAGTTTTCAATCAACAACTATTCTAAGCTGCTTTTTGTTTGTTTTTTGAGATACTAGTGCCAAATCAAATATCTTCGATCCCACAAGTATGCATCTGAATTCTGCTTTCTAAATGCTTCATTTCACCTTCGGTTCTCTGAATTATTTTTTTTTACCACCAGTTTATTTACCTATCTAGATAATTCAGAATTTTATTTCTATTCAGCTCTCAACCAGTTTTATGTCATCTGAAAATTTGGCAGTAATCATAACAACAAAAAAGACCATTTACAGGGTTTACTGATCCATAGTTTGTTGGATAAGTCATTGCTGCCTGATTAACATAAAATGCCAATCACTCATAGAATACAAAACGTCAAGCTTTTTTGATTCACAAACCATCATAATACATAATGTGATTTGCTTGGATTTGCCTTAATGTGATGTGGGAACTCATTGTCAGCCCCAAGGAACCAAGAATGACACAAAGAGCTACTTCGGAGTATTTAGAGTGTTCCACTATCCGGTCAGAACCAGTGATGGGGTTCAGCGAGTTCGCACCACTTCAGCAGAACCGGTAACTAATTTTTTGTTTCCCAGGCCCAGAATGGACTTCCGGAAGTGGCATCCGCACAGACAACCAGTTGTTCACATATTTGAATCCCACCACTGGTCAGAACCCATCCTTCCATCCCACCCCCCACCTTCCTGCCATCACAACTGATGACATTTCTTGGATGAGAAACAAAACATTTTGTTCCTTCTTCCTCAAGGAAAAAACAGTCCGGTTGCTTTTTGAAAAAGCACCTTTGAGACAACTATGACCTGGATGACTGAGAATCTGTACAGGCATTGAACTATTTCAGACTGCTTTCTTTACTATTGTTCACTGTTGTTTCTGTCAATAGACAGACATCTTTCCAGACTAAAGCACTTCTCTGTGTGACGATGAGATTTATCCTGTGAACTGCTAGGGAGAGTCTGCCTTTGCCCTTTTCCTGCATACTAAAGATTCAAACATGTTGTCTCTTTGCTCTCTCCTGCGATTCTGGACTACATCCTATCACCCTCAGGCTAGATGAGAATATCCTTATGACATTTCGTGGATTCTGTAAAGTACATATCAGAAATGTGACTTTGTAGTAAAGGGCAGGTTTCTATTTGTCTTGTGCTTCCATAAGATTGATTGGTATTTCAATCAACTATAAAGTGCTCAACTATAAAATGAAGTCAGTAATGTTTTTTTTTTCCTATTCCTATCCCAAAGAAATCTTCAACTATCGCTAGGCTAGCCCACTTACTATATAAATAACAAAAAAGGCTTCTCAACCAAAATCAAAGTTAACTGTTCATATCTTATATTAAATTATGAGAGTTTATTTCGTTGCATGGATCAGTTCCCATCTTAGCAGCACCTAATTGTCCTTGGAAGCCAAATATAGTTGGACCTGATTATTACCCAGATGGAAATCTCTAAGGAAAAGTTTTGGAAAAAGGGCATACCTCATTTTGAGGCAAACAGACACCAAATACAAAAATATCAATCATACTGAGTGTCAAAAAAATAAACTGACCATTGTCACACAAATGTGGAGTGCAATGGATGACTTCTGGAAATAAGCCTATGTGTTCAAGTCTTCTCTTTCTCCCAGACTTGCATATATACAAAAACTGGTGTCAAGAAAACCTGGGGTTATCAATGAAATGTGGTTGGTCAGTTGCTGTAAGTTATTCTGAAGGATCTGATTTACAACTGGAGGTATCTAGTGATCCATCTAGATGAGAGCACCTTGGCTGATCTCAAAACAAGCTAAGCAGGATAAGTTGTGCTTAGACCTTAGATAGGAGGCAATCAGGAAAATTGAGGGCAATGCAGGTAGTCCTCAACCTAGGATTGTTTTGAGCCCAATTTATGGTCAGACGTTGTACCAGTCGTTAAGCAGGTCATCACATGACCAACTTGACTTTATAAATTTTTGAAGTGGTTGTTAAGTGAACCCATTGGAAGTAAATCCCAGTTTCCTGCAAAAAATGTCATAAATTGTACTCACGTGACCACTGGATGCTGCAAACAGCCATAAAAACAGGCCACAAATACAGGCCAGTTGTGAATGGGGGACAGCCATTGGAACTTAAAATCCAGGTCATAAGTACCTATTTTTAGGTCTGTCATAACTTTGAATGGTCAGTAAGCACTACCTGTAGGGTTCCCTGTAGGCTAAACAACACTTTAAAAAACACCAGAAAATACAGCAATGGTGAATGCTTCTATTATTATTGCCAAGAAAATTAATGAAATGTCCTTTATGTCATTGGCAGTCAAGATCAACTCAAAGGAGTCTTTATTTTTTTTATAGGTCAAATGTTTTTATTTTGTTTTCTACCCTTTGATCCTTTTGCACAATGAACTTTAGAATATCAAGATAAGGCAGTCAGTTTTGAAAACACGATTATAAGTATCATGATTAGAAAAAAAGAAAGGGACAAGAGTGGAAGATGAATAGGGATATTTGGATAGATGTCTTTAGAAAAAAAATAATTGTAGAATTAAGATAATAACTATAGTTGTTTTAAGGAGCCACAGCATTATTATCTTAATTCTATAATTTATTTAGGTGCCCAGAAAGACAAATTACAGCGTGCTGTGAGGATGAAAAGCCTAAACATAAAAGTTGGTGAAGGTATTATTTCAGTTATCTGAAAATTCATCCTATTATAAGTTTGTCAAAGAGATAATGTGCACATGTCAGAAGCTTCAGTTCTTGCCTTAGAGTGCCCCCCCCCCAAAAAAACACCCCTCTGTGAAGCAGTGAGGGTCAGCTCTGTCACTCCCCCGGTGTCCCACAAAACTAAGTCAGTGGCTGCTTGACTCTGCTCATTAATAGCCTAGGGAAGTATAGTCTAATAATGGAAAACATAATACAGTTTAGCTGTTACTGGCTTGCTAGAGCAGTATCTTTTTTTCACCAGTTGGCAGCAGTGAGAATCAGAAGAGAGAAGCAACTTTGGGTGGGTGAGAAAGATCTGATTTAGCCCACTGCTAGTGAGCGAAGCGGAGTCAAGTATCCTGGTTAAAGGCAGATTGGGAACTTCAGGGAGCTCTTGCTGAGTGCACTTCAAGACTGGACAGTGCTATGGACAATGCCAGAGACACCACAGGGCTAAACTGACCAGATTCGGACTGAGAGAAGTATGCCCATCTGATTGTAAACTCTTGAATATTCATTGATAATTGCCCAGTCATATTAAGCGGGAAACACTAAAAGGGATTAAGCCCACAAGTAAGACACCGTTAACTTCACAAGAGGTCTCAGGTAGTTTTATTTATGACTACACAAGACAGGAGGATTTTGGTGGCAGGAAAGACATCATATTAAGTGCCAAATTTTAAAACCAAACACTGGGCAAGTTTATACTTTGCCCAGGAGAATTGCATCACGTCCTTTGACAAATTCGTTCTCTGTATTTAGGCTTTTGTGATAAATGTTTGGATCAGGATTAAGTATTTCCATTTCCATTATGTTTGCATGACCACTTCTCAAGCTTCCGTGAATTATTTTTAACCTTGTCTATATGTACCTTTCTCTCCTTATCCACCCAGGTAAGAGGTCCAAGAGCTGGAGTCATTGGCTTGTCCAAAGGAGCTGAAATTGCATTAGCCATGGGAACCTTCTTAGAGGAAATAGCAGCTGCAGTGTGCATCAATGGTGCCACAAGTATGAATGGTGCACCCCTCCATTTTCGCGATATCAACATCCCTGCTGTTCCCTACTCGGCAGAGGCGGTTCTCATCAATGAAATAGGATTGATGTCCAGTTTCAATGTCATGGGAGATCCTCTAGATTCAGTTCATGAAGTCTCTGCCATTCCTGTGGAAAAAGCCCAGGGTCACATTCTCCTTGTGGTAGGAGAAGCTGACCAAAGCTTGAACAGTAAGATGTTTGCTGAAGCGGCTTTGAGCCGCGCAAAGAAGTATGGGAAAACTAACTATAGGTTATTATCTTACCCTAAGGCTGGACATATGATAGAACCACCTGGATCCCCAACTTGCTTCATCTCTTCTATCCGGGGTAGTCCTACACCCACAATATGGGGAGGGGAGATGAAGTCTCATGCCAAAGCTGAGGAACATTTCTGGAAAGAGGTCCTGAAATTTTTTGAGCTCCATCTTAGCCCAGCTGAAAATTTATGATATCAGAAGGAAGTGCAGGTTGCATAGGTTCTTTTGGTCCACAAATATTATCAAATAAACCCTACTCACAAGATAGAAATTGGGTTCTCATAATGCATGTTTCATAAAGATAACTAGATGGTAAGAATCATATACAATGATAAGACTCTGGAAATGCAAAAAAGATTAGCTTTATTGTCTTGTTTGGTCTATTGTGACCTTCAGAGTACTTCTATAATTTCTATTTCAAGTAAAATAATGAGTTAATGATAAATATGTTGACTTTGAAATGAATCCTTTGTGTACAAAAATCTTCATAAATTCTCAGCGTGCTGCATCCATTGTTGTAAACAGCTTATTTCATAAACAGCTATCATCTGTAGGATTCCTAATTAATCTCAGGGTGGAACATATGTAAACCATATGTTCCATATTGGGATATTGACACCATATTGGGATATTGACACATGCATTATAAAATTACTTACAGTAGTGGCCAAAATTATGGAAACCTTTTGGGAAAAGTATACAGTAGAAATATCACCTTTGGTTAAATTTCCACCATTTTTTCTTCTAACTGCTTTATAACTGTAACTTGTTCACTTAATAATACTATTTTACATCACTTTCTGGGCAACCAGTCAACTCTTTGCACCATTACTTTAATTTTATTACATTTTACAATCTCACTAAATGAAAGAACAGAAAAAAACCAGCCAACTTGATAGCGATCACATAACACACTGACAAATGTCCTCCTCTCAGCTTCAATACATGACATCAATAATTGAATTCTACTGTAATCTGATTGGCTCATTGCCAAAACAAGATGACACCTGATTGGCTCTCTAAACACTCATGCTCATTGGCTACAATCAGATGAAGGAAAGCTACCTGATATTAACCTAAGCAAGTTGTGCTTCCTTTTTCTGGTTATTTGGCTATAACTTTTCATAGAATACAGTACAGATAATTGAACAAACTTTGTTGC